CCAGCACAGCTGCTCCTGCCTCCTCCCCACCACCCCAAAGCCACCGAGAACATGGCACTTCCACCCTGGTTTGTGCAGCTTTGGAGCTATTACGCCCGGTCTGTGTGTGCTGGGGGGGCTCTGACGCCACCAGGGGTGCAAGAAGAGGTGAGAGCAGCCCTGCGGCCTTGAGCACGGTGAGAGGCCCCCCCTCTATTGAGGTGCAGAGACAACGGAGCCTCCCCCTTTGCCCCCTGCGGTGGCTGGGCTGAGTGCTGCTGACAGTGGGAAAACAAACACTAGGGATGCCCCTTTCCCCCTTGGCTTAGCCTGGCGCACGTGGGTCCTGGCTCGCTTACCCTGCAGGCCAGGTGAGATACAAACACCAGGGCAAGTCGTGGGGGAAAGAATCCAGACTCCAGCTCCAGACCCATCTCCTGCAGGGCAGGGAATGACAGTTCTGGCCTTCGTGAGCAGTGGCTTCCTCTGAAGGTTCAGACGCAGGATGCTGGACTGGAGTGAAGGATGCTCCTGGGAGGCAGTGACTATGTTCCTCCAATCCCCAGCCCTAATGCCAAGGATGGGAGCCAGAGGTAGCACTAGGGCTTCTGTCCACCCACCCCCTGCCAGCCCAGAGTTACCCAGATAAACAGGGACTGATGGTTTGCTGCCCCAACAAACCACCTTACCTGCTGCTTCATTGTGGGCCTGGATTGCCCCCCAGGATTGGTCGTTCTCTTCAGGTGAATAGGATGGGGAGTGTCCATACCAAGAGCTATGGGGGAAAACACCTTCTCCCCTCCTGGGCCTTGCATAGGGCCCCCCTGCTAACGTGGCTTTGTCCCTGTCGCTATTCAAAGCAGTGGCCATGGCCATGCCTCGGCCATCAGATGGTGCACTCTTTAGCGGAGTGGTTCTGACCCAACCCCTCAGTCTGGATTGAGGCCCTACATTTTAGGCAGCTAAGTTTGGGAAGTTTGCCCATTTCTGGCTGCTCCGTGGTTTTGCTGTGTGACCTACCCCGTGTTGAGCCAGGGAGGGTGACTAGCATCGTGTCTGTAAGTTGCGGGGGGAGATGAGAAGCCCCAAAGAAGTGCCTGTTACAGTTGAATGTGTCTGCTGTTCATAAGCAGAACATGCACCATTAGCTTCCTTCCGGCTACAGCATTTATCTTCTTCCATTTCTACAATAACAAGTCATAACAGTAGGCAAACTAGCCAACTTGCAGGCCTAAGTGGTGGGTTCCTCCCCCCCCCTTCATCATCTGGGACATGCACTCCCACTGGGACAGCCCCATCTATTACCATATAAATTACAATTGCTGCTTCCATAAAGCTTTGCTTAAAAAAACCCTCTCTTGTAGCAAACTCTCCCATTGCCATTTCAAAAAGACAGCTGGCTGAGATCTGTGTCTTAATGAGGGTGAACTTTAAAATGAAAAATCTCTGCTTGAGACCTGCTTTAGTCCTT